GAACCATCAACTCATCTAGACATTTGCCTAGTTTTACAACAGGCTACATAAAAAGCACTAGCGAAGTGAGTACAAACTAAAATTTCATACAATGACTTGTTTATACTGCTCTATATACTATACACTGAAATAGAAGTACAATATTATATTCCAATTGATTTATTTTATAATTATATGGTAAAAATGAGAAAGTCAGCAATTTTTTAGTAATAGCGTGCTGTGACACTTTTGTATTTTTATGTCTGATTTTGTAAGCAAGTAGTTTTTAAGTGATGTGAAACTTGGGGTACATAAGACAAATCAAACTTCTGAAAGGGGTACAGTAGTCTGGAAAGGTTGAGAGCCACTGCTGTAGATCACTGCAGACAGGTTGCAAGCCAAGTCAAACATTTGAATCAACTTCCTGTTAGACATTTACAGCCAAATCCCAGGCCTCGTTTAAACAACAGCACTGGGCACACAAGCCTCTTGCTGCTGTATATGTGTCGCTAAGGCACAGGACTGGAAGTCAAACAATCTGAGCTGTATTTCTGGCACTGTCACAACCTCCTGTGGGCTCTGGACAACTCATCCAACTCTCTGATCCTCAATTTACCCACTTGTAAAATAGGAATATTATTCCCCCGTACATCACAGAGGTGTTGTGAGGAGATCCTTAAATAGGGATAAGAAAATAAGGCACTTATTTATCCCATTAGTATAGCATCTGAGCACCTCATAAGCTTTAATGTATTTATCCTCACAACCCCTCTGTGAGGTGGGGAAATACTAGTATCTCCACTTTACAGATAGACCTAGGGCCCAGAGAGAATAAGTGACTCGCTCAAGAGCGAAAAGGAAGTCTTTTGCAAAGCAGGAAACTGAAACTAGGCCTTCCATATCCCTGGCTTGCGCCCTAACCAATGAGTGTTTTCTCTCTAAACACTTATACCATACTTTTCATCTGTAAAAGATACTATTGTATCTTTTAAAAGAGCTTTGAAAAGATGGGCAATATCATTATCTCCATTTTACTGATGGGAAAATCGAGGCACAGAGCAGTTTCATGGCTCATAGGTAAGGCGCTATATGCCTGATCCTGATACATGCAATGACTTTTTATTATGAACAGTATTGTATTTCATATTTTGATACAGTTCGTATGAAAGACTGGCAAAACAGAGTTGTATACTATCATATTATAACAATTAATAGGTTAAGTGATAACCTAATGTTGAAGCTTGAAGTAAAACTGTTCATTATCAATGTTACAGGAGATCTAACATACTTCAGAAGACAGGTACTTAAGTGCCAAGGATGATTTTGTTTGTTTACTTGTTTCCATCATGTATGGAATTATTCAGTGAATGACTCATTACAGCCAGGCTTCTTTCTTTTCCCAGGTTCCTCAGGAATAAGTTGAGAAAGATATAGCATGGGTGAAAGAAAAATAGCAGTCCTGATGAGTTGAGAAGATTCTGTTGTTGACATTGGTTCACACTGTAATACTAGCATGTGTTTTTGTATGCAACCGTTTGCATATGTGCCTAGAGTGAAGCATTTTATAAATCCAAATAAATAAATGATGAGCAACCCTTCCTTCTAAAGAGGTTTCTATTGCTTCTAATGTTACACTGGTAGTCTCAATGGCTAATCAGATAGTACATAGAAGTTACTAGTGGTGGTGTTTTATTTGCATGCTAACAAATACTTTAGGGTCTGATCATGGCTTTACGCTAAAACAACCAAGCAGCGGCAGAAGGAAGAATCAGACACCCCACATACACCTACATGGCCTCTTCATGTCTCTGCTGCAGGTGCCGGGACTGGGGAGGGAGGAAGCAGAGGCTGTGAACGTGGTACACCTCTCTCCCCACCTGTGCAGGTGGGTAGAGAATGACAGGATAATCCCGCAAAGGAAGGCAGTAATCTGCTACTGGTCAGGGCCTGTAGCAGAATACTACCCATAGGGAGCAAGTTGCTACGTGCTCCTTACCCAGGGTTAGGAACAAATTCTTAATCCAGCAATTAATTAATAACCATTCAAACTTTAGCTCACTTTCTCAGCTCGAGCCACTTCAAGCTTTATTAAGGTTTCATCCATCTCTTTAATCCACTGCCTTCTATACAAAGACTCCTGGGAGATGGCATCCCATAACTCCCCAAAACTCTGTAAGAAGAAATGTAAAGTCAGTCCCATTGAAAAACTAAAAATAAAAAATACGACTGCAGCAGGCGGTAGAAATAAACATTATATATACACGTGGCAAGCAAAGAAAAAAGGAGAGACAAGGGCTTGAGCTAGAGAATTAGATTAAATCAAATAAACTCCCTTACTGTGATTGAAAAGGCTTCCAGATCAGTGTCACTTTCAATCTTTTTGAACAGAAGTTCAATAGCTCTATCAGATTCTGATAGTTTTGTCAAAAGCAACTTTCCAGACTCCAAAATGAATGGTTCCATTTCCTAAAACAGGCAGGTATAGGAGTCAGATATTGGGTACTAGGCCTTGACACTTATGTAACACTCCAGACTACCTAGCGTCTCACCCTCCCAATGCAGGCTAACTCCTGCTGTAACACAGCCACTGCTTCATTATGACGGCCTCGTCTGCGCTCTGAGAGGCGTTCAATGATATTGCTGTTTGTCTTCTCAGGAACTGCCGAGGAAGAAAATAAAGATGATGCAGACTGGATGTGTTGCTGCAGAATGTCTAATGTAGCCACCAACGCATTATCAACACTAAGATCTCTGGGCTTTGTGCAACAGGAAAGATCCTTACACAATACAAAAGGGCACAGATTATAATAGCACTCTGCAATTATACAGCACTTTTTATCCTATGATGCCAAAACACTTTGAAGACATTTATTAAGTCTCACATTCCCTCTGTAAGGTAGGCGAATATTATCTCCATTTTCACAGATGGGGAAAATTATGCCAAAGAGAAGTTAAGTGACTTGCCAAATAGTAAAGACACAGAACAGAACCCAGGAAATATTGACGCCCATTTCCCTGCTCCAGCCTCTAGAAAACTTTGTCTTTAATTTTCACACATGAACAAGTTTTTGAGTGAAAAACTCAGAGGAAACCTTGAACCAATATTAATGCAGTATCACATAATTATCTGGAGAATATTTGCAGTGGAGAAAGGGCAGGGGCCCTTGGTATACAATGGAAAGATATGGATTTTAATAGGTGACACACTAGATGAGATATGGGAGCTCTACGATAAATATTTGTCCATTACATTTTTACAGAACAGTGCTAAAATGCTTTTCATATCACAGAAAGTCTGCAAGGGTAAAGGTTAATACATATTATATTGTAAAGAATGGTTCTCTGAAAGCCACATACTGATTTTTAATGTTTGTTATTAATATTTGTTTCTGTAATAGACAAAAGCACACAAGCTATTAAATTCACACCTCAGATAAACAGGTGAAACTCCACTGATATCAAAGGACTTGGGCCTGCTTATACTAGGGCTGAATTTGACTCTATGTCTATACATTCTGAGTAATCAAACAAGTACAAAAATACAATAAATATTTCTCTGATTATTCCCTCCCCTCCATGTGGGAAATTCCTAAAGTATCATAAAAAATAACATAAGATTAAGTTAGTAAAATTTACTAATGAAATCACTGAGGCCTCTGACTTCCCGGGCTGCAATCACATCTTCACTTTCTTGAGCTTTTCGAAATGTAATTTCCCTGAAATAGAAACAGAGATGAAAGCCTTGATCTATGCCACACAAGGAAAAGTAGGGATCTCCAAAAGGCATTGCTTCACATTTTGTAAATTAGATTCATTTCCAAAAAATCTAAATGACCATAAGCATCATCATAACTTTAGTGAATTTGGAGGGGCTAGTGTTTCACAGAATGAATGTTATTTTCCCAGTTGAAGTGGGCCAAATTAATTAATTATCATAGCTCATTTGGTGAAAACAACCCAAAATACGATGGCATAACATCAACAAATCCCAGATTTAAATACATACTAACTATAGAGGCAATCTGCAAAAAGTAAGGCAAGCTTTAGGCAAAAGTACTTGAAACTAGAACATTTTTCTGCCCTCTGACTCTTCCATTCAGGGGGGCACAATGTATTTCTCTATGTGGTTGTTCAATAAAAAGAAAACACTAGTTGGATAGACTGTTTGCATCACTTCTAAAACTATCATCTTCTCATGTTCTGCTATGAGAGCGATGACCAATTCTCAATTAGGACAGATCTGACTTTCCTCACAGATAACAGGTATTTGCCAGCAGGAACATCTCCCACGTGTTTTACAAATGCATTGGAGACAGAAACCTTTCATGTGGGGTTTAAAATGTGTCAGTTCTGTTAATGCAGGTATCACTTTTGTACAACTTGGATTTTAATTTTACTTCCATTTCTGGTCATGGCTATGGTTACACACCGAACAGCATATTTGTTCTCTTTCAGTGATTTTCCAGATGCGATATTCTTACTTTACAAGTTCAAAGATTATTTTGCTCATTGCAAAGTCCACCTAGGACCTGTAAATCCAACTATGATCTCTCTCCCTCTTACATCTTGACTGTTAATAGAGATTCTGCAATTAGAACTTAGCAGACACTTTGTTCAGGATGCATGAAGCAGAACAGAATATTTTAATTCTTCCAAAGCTGATTTACACCAATGGTCTAACAGAAGTAGAATTTTGTTCGTAGTTAATAGGTGCATCAGACTTAAAGACATACAAAACATTAATCTATTTAGCAAGGAACCCTTTTTACATAGTCACTTTTCTAAAAATAAATGCAATTTAAAGTAAGACCAATTAAAATTGTGCATAGTTCTAGACCGTTTTAAACAAAAAAGTAGTACAATACCTTTTAAAAATGAAAACCATAATATGCAGCCCTCTACAAACATTGAGTAATTAATCCTCACAAATCCATGTGCAGTAGGCCAGTATTACCCCTCTTTACAGCTAGGAAAACTGAGTTACATGGAGGTTGAGTAATTTGCCCAATGCTACAGAGGGAGTTATTGCCAGAACCACGATTAAAATTCAGGTTCCTAGCTTCCAGTCCCATGCTCAAACCTCACTGCCCCTTTTTGACCTGAGTAGCTAGGGCCAAAATTTGGGGGTCTAGTGGGTTGTTTTGGTTAGGAGGAGAAATTGATGTTGGAGTCAGGTCTTTCTTTGATGCAATCCTGTTTATTTACAAAGAATGTATAAAGTCCTGTTTCCCTCAACACAGCAGGTGACAGTTTCTTTGTTCACAGTTCAAAGCCCCTTTCCAGCTAGCACTTAGACCAAAAGTTCTCTCTCTAGGCCTTTCTCAGGGCCACATTCCCAGTGCTTGCTCTGGCTGCATCCTTGGCTTTCTGCTATTTCTCTCCCAGCTTCTCTGCTGTTTCTTTTTCTCCTCCTCTCACAAAGACAGACACACACACTTCCACCAAACAATACCTAGTGACAGCCCTCCACCCACATGTGCCTTTGCTTTGGGTGGTGACATGTGCCTTTGTTCTGGGTGGACGCTGCTATTGTTTCAGCTGGTTCCATAAAGGAGCTTAACTGTTTCTTACATGTATCAATAATGAAAGTTGGCTGTGACACCCGCTAGTTTCAAAGAGGTTTAACCCAACCTATAACCATATATAATTATAAATGTATACTTCCAATCTATACCTGTACAACACTGGATTTTCAGTGAAGTCATCATTGGGCATTCCCTCAACCCATTTCTGCTGGCGATGAGATAACAGTCCTTTCCCAGCACACATTTCCAAGTCCCTAACCACAGGAATCCTTCCACTGTTCATAGGAAACTTATGTTGCTCTGCCTTGTTTCTCACTTCTTCCAGAGAGCATACTAAGTTCACCTTCGTAAAAACATAATCAAGGTGTTAAAATTCTCAGTATTCCACTGAAGGCAGAGAAGATCAAAGAAGCTGCACTGAGTAAAAGTGGCTGAATAGGAGATAAAGTAATAAACAATTCTTTGCACTTACATAACATCTTTCATCCAAAGTTCTTTACAAAATGAGCAAGAACATCCCTCTTTTAACAGATGGAGAAACCGAGGCACAGAAAGGTTATGTGACTTGCTTAAGGTCACACAGCAAGTCAGTGGCAGAGTCAGGAACAGAAATTAGGTAACCCTGACTTCAAGTCCCATGCTCCAACCACTAAGCCATGCTGATTTTCCTTTTAAAAATTAGACCATCTGTATACACTAGCCAAATCCTTCTGAGTTTGGCAAACTAAGCCTCTGAATTTATCCATCATTGCCATGTCATTAACATAGCAAATTTTGGCTTTGGCAAATACATTCTGAGGTTCAAAAGACACAGAGCAGGACCTTAAAAGGTTTGTTGGGGTGGGCACCCTGATGACATTAAAATTATTTTCTGCTAAAACAAACCAAAAATCCAAAAGGTCCAAATTCATGTCTGGTCTAACTCTACTGAATTCACAACAGCAAGAACAAAACAGTAAATTTGGCTTAGCCTCTGATGTTTCTGTACCTCATCGTCGAAGATCTGCCGGTAGACTTTCCCACTGGGGACAACACGTACTGCTCCCACCAGCACCATGTTGCAAAGTGCTCAGTTCTTGGCTTGTTTGCAGAACAATTTCCTTGCACCAACTTGGGGGAGGGGGCACAGAGAGAAGGAGGCATGAGAATTAAATCTTTAAAAGAACACCATCAACTTTAGAATTAGACATCGATCTGAAAAATTTGCACCTTTATATCATTATAAATATACACCACAATTACTATAACTTAAAGATGGAAAAATACTGGTGGTTTCTTTACTTTGTGCATTTGACAGGACTGCCCTGGGTGGGGTGGGGACTTGCCTATCACCTAGCTATTCTGCAACACCCCACAAGGGCTATTCCAGCAGACAAGCAAATTGGTAAATAAGCCCAATGGACTGTGATGGGATGTTAGATGGGGTGGGATCTGAGTTACTACAGAGAATTCTTTCCTGGGCCTCTGGCTGGTGAGTCTTGCCCACATGCTCAGGGTTTAGCTGATCGCCATATTTGGGGTTGGGAAGGAATTTTCCTCCAGGGCAGATTGGCAGAGGCCCTGGGGGTTTTTCGCCTTCCTCTGCAGCGTGGGGCACGGGTCACTTGCTGGAAGATTCTCTGCACCTTGAAGTCTTTAAACCATGATTTGAGGACTTCAATGGCTCAGACGTAGGTTTGATACAGGAGTGGGTGGGTGAGATTCTGTGGCCTGGGTTGTGCAAGAGGTCAGACTAGATGATCATAATGGTCCCTTCTGACCTTAAAGTCTATGGGGCAACTTTCATGGTTCTCTAATCTGTACCAGGCATCAAGGCAATTCCAGGCAGCCCCCAGGATAGGAAAAGCACCTTGTCCTCATTGCCTCTCCCAGTCCATAAACTTAAACTCAGCATTGGCACAGGGGTGGATTTGGGTTTCTGGGTGTAGGCAGTTTTGTCCTTGAAAGACCCTAATAAACAGGGGAACAGAAAACTTTATATGTTTTTAATTATTTTTTAAAAACTCAAGACAAACTGTTAAAAGCACACTAAGAACCAGATATATTTTGAAGTCAATAAAAAAAATTCGAGTTGCCATTATCCCATTGAAGAGAAATATTGTTCCTTACTGAAGGCTTTTTTAAAAAATAATTACATAGGCCCTGATCCTGTAAGTGACTTCATAAGAGTGGATCCCTGTGCCTACATAGTCTCACTGAAATCATTGGGATCCACACAGGCACAAGGATCTGCCAGGCAGAGTCATCTGCAAGATCAGGGCTTTAAGAGAAATGTTATGAAAAGCTTCTACCTACAGAAACTCAAAAAACAACAACAACAAGGAGTCCGGTGGCACCTGAAAGACTAACAGATTTATTTGGGCATCAGCCTTCATGGGTAAAAAACCCACTTCTTCAGATGCATCAAAAAACAATGACGCTGACCATCCCGAAAACTATTAATGAAGACCACAGCTGTGAATTTCCAGCGTTTCTTCCATAACCTAGATTCTAGACAGCAGAGTCTCGCTGATTGGCGCGGATGGCCCAGCAGCTATTGCGGGTTACAACATTGTCACGTTTCGGAAATAAGCGATCAAAACACATGGCACTTGGGGAGTTGGTTGCGTCGGGTGAGCCTTCCTTTTAGTTCTGTTTGGAGACTTCGGAGGACTGCATGTGTCACACAGGACAGGGTGTGACCATCATGGAGACCGAGTGATATAAACTCCCATGAGAAGCAGCGAGGTTCTGATGCTCTGAGATGGCGACGGGGAGGGAAGTCTCCCAACCTCCAGGCAGGACCAGAGCGGGGCGCACTCTACCATCCCCCCAGCAGAGACAGGGGGTCACTCTCCCCAGCACCCCCTCCCACAGCAGGACGGGGGCGGTTCATCTCTCAAGCACCCTACTACCTGAATAGCCGCCCAGCTCCCAGCGCAGCTTCCCGGCTAGGCCAAGAGTCTCCTCGTCTCCATGGTAACCCCGGGCACAGGAGACAGAGCGAGCGCGAGAGCTCCTCTTCTCGCGAGAACCTTTAAACTCCGCCACGAGTTCTCGAGCGTTTACCTGTTGCCATAGAAACGCAGGGAGGCGGGCTGAGGCTTGTGTCGTCCCTCTGGGGCCTGCTGCGCCGAGGCGCTGCCTCCCCCCACAGCTGATGCCATTTGCTGGCTGCTCACTCAGTGGCTCTGGGAAAGGTGGTGCTGGTCGCAGTGCTAGTGCACCAGTGTTACTTCCGGCACCTAGTGGGGCCCTGTGCTCAGCTTCATTGTTGCCCCCCCCGGGGAGCATTCTCTTTTATCTCCCCCCCCCCGGGTTTTCATTCTTTTTTTCTCTATTCTCCTCTTGGGACTCAGGGTTGGGGTGCAGGGTCTGGGTGGGAGCTATGGTGTGGGAGGGGGTTCAGGGCTGGGGG